CCCCCCCCCCCCCCCCCCCCCCCCGCTCCCTGTCTCTTGACTGCCCCCTCCAGAACCTCCCTGCCCCTTCTCCAACCCCCTGGCCCCCTTCCCGGCACGCTGGTCTGAGCGGCAGGGTGAGGAGGAGCAGGGGGTGGAGCTCCAGACTGCCGGTGCGAACGGCCGGCTGGTGATCTGCGAGGGAGGGAGGGAGTGCTCTCAGCTGCAGGGGAGAGGAGGGGGAAGTGGAGGAGGGGCTCTCTCAGGCTGTCGGAGCCCCATGTAAGTGGCACCATCCGGCCGGCTGCCCTGTTAACCGCGCGCGCTCTGCATGGGGGGGGGGAAGTCCGGACATTTACAAATTCCCCCCGGACGCTATTTTTAACTCTAAAAGCCGGACATGTCCGGGGGAATCCGGACGAATGGTAACCCTACACTACATAGCTCTGGCAATGTTAACATACTAGGACTGGAACTCAAACTCCAAACCTCTTGCTTAATACTTTAGACCATCATTACTCAGGCTAGCATGTGGCACATGAGCAGTTCCACTGACTTCAGTGGGACTACGCACGGAATTGTTTGCAGGACCCAGGTCTGGACAGCTAAGGAAATGGGGACCACAGGCCTAAAACAGTTATACATTTAAACTATGTTGAATAGTGCTCGCCCGACTAACATACTCTACCTTCTGTGGGATGGCCAGAGTCCTATTCCAGGTCTCTTTGAGTTGAGCAACTGAATAGCTGGGATTGGACTAGAGAAGAGATGACAGAAACAGAACATTGCACTGACCAGAACTGCTGATGCTGCACGACCATCCTGTCAGATAAAATGCAAGAGCACATATCAGAGATATCCTGTTAATTGAAGGGAAAGGATAGTCTATTTTAACCCAATCCATATTTAAAAAGCGCATTTCAGCAAGATTTCAATGACATGGCTGTATTAGAACTAAAGGAGGAAGGTCTATAGAAACTCGTTTCAGCGCTTTAATTTCCAGTAATTAACTTTTGAACCAGACTAAATACAGTTGATTTAAATGGATTCAGCTATTTTACAGAAGTGCATACAAGTGTAGCTGATGATTCACACAAGATTTTGAGGGCACAGAAATAACTCGTCTTTGGATTGGAACTTCTGCTGTGTGTTTTAGTAATTTGCTGTTTGTAATATTAAACTACACCTGCAGATCTTGGGCTCACTGCAATCTGCTATTTCAGACATCTGCTAAAGCAGAGATTTACCTTGATACAGGATTTGCCACCCTAGAACAGACTAAGGCTTAAGTATCCTGCTGAATATGGGCATGTGCTTGAAATCAAAGGGACCACTCATGTCTTTCGAGCTTACATAGAGCTCTTCTTCAGGGTTAGAGCTCTGTGTAAGCTCAAAAGCTTGTCTCTCTCACTAACAGAAGTTGGTCCAATAAAATATATTACCTCACCCACCTTGTTTCTCTAATATCCTGGGACCAACATGAGTACAACATCATTGCATACCTTACGTTAAGCACTGGTTTAAGTGCCTTGCTGAAGAGGGGCCCCATATTGGTAACCTGCCTATCTTTTGGACTTGGCTGGCTGTATAAGCTAGTTAGGGGAGGGCGGTCAAAGAGAAAAATGCCCTTCGACACACACAAAATTCATTTGGGAGCTCTGTCATGTTCGACTCTTTTGGGTTGGGAAACTACATACCTAGAGAACCTATGTGTTTCTGATTTTCACAGTAGAACCGTACTCATATTGAGAGTGACACTATGAGGCACCAGGGTAAATATTTATCGGGAGTTTCTTATGACCTAGGCAGATTTCATCTGGAATTTTTTATTGCCCAAAACTGCCAGCCCTGGAATGCCAACCTGGGCTCTGAAAATTAAACAGAACTCCTTCGGGATCATTATCAACCATAAAGGTTCTACAGGCCAAAGAGTGTGATTGTGTAGGTGTCACTGACACAATCTTCAGCCTACACTGTCCTCAACATCTGTGCAATTACATGGCCCTCAATGGATCTGCACAAGGCCCTGGAAACACTACTTTGTTGACAAGTCTGTTGATGTACAAGGAGGGACAGAACGTGGTTCATCTTCCTTAGCTACGTTGGCTCACTGGATTAAAAGCCATCAGACTTACTTTTCATGGAAGTTAGTACAACTGACTCAATACTCACAGGAAGCAGATCTGACGAGTAAAATGTCCCTCTTGTTGCAGAGAGAATTTTCAGAATAGACCCACATTTTAATGGTAGGTTTAATTATTCTTATTCAAGCGCTCCTCCCCACAGCCAAACTAGAAACTGCATTTAAAGTTGTGACAAACCATAACACTACTCAAAGCAATGTCTGCCGTTGTGTTGGCCAGAAAAGGCTCTCAAACTAGGTGATCAAATATATTGCAATACATGTAAGACATGAAGCAATTTTAGCTTAAATCAAGTTGCATTATCTCTTTATATTTAAGTTTAGGTTTTTGCATATTGGCAGATTGTATAATGCTTATTCTCCTGTATGGACTTACTTCATTGTATCCTTGTACAATGGTGCATTTATTGCTGGTCAGTTCCCCAGGGAAGCAAGAGGTTACAAGCAGAGATTTCTCAAATGCAGCTACTGGCTGACTTACCATGCAATGGATGACACACACATTTTTGGGGTTCTGCTGTAACCAGTTGTGCATGTTCTTACATACAGCATAGAGATTATGCAGACTGGGCGCTTGTCTCATTGGCCAGCTACATTCAGATACCTAGGAGATCACATAGTGAACAAACATAAACTTCATAATCCCTTTAATTGAGACACTTTCATGGATCTTTCCTGTCAAAAAGAGCATGTTCCTTCCACACAAGGTAAATGCTGTGCTTTAAACCCCTTCAGCCTCTCTTTTCCATGCATAACTCTGCTTAATGGGGAGGCATGAATTATAGAAGGGGCAAGAGAAGAGGATTTTTTGTTTCATAATATGAAATTGATATTTTGTCCCTGACAATACATTTTAAAACGGTTTTGAAATATTTAGCATGCAACTTGGATCATCCTTAGTAACCATTTAAAGCACTGAATTCTCTGTGCAAGGAAGAGTTGGATCAAATTGCTGTGCTTTGATTATAGGGTATGTCTACACTACGGGATTAATCCGAATTTAGATAATTCGAATTTGGGAAACAGGTTGTATAAATTCGATTGTGCGCGGCCACACTAAGCACATTAATTCGGTTTTTAACCACATTAATTCGGTGGTGTGCGGCCACACTACTCCATTAATTTAAACACAGTAATTCGGTGGTGTGCGGCCACACTAACCCTAATTCGAATTAACAAAATCGATTTAGGCGCTACTCCGCTCGTCGAGGTGGAGTACAGAAATCGATTTTAAGTGCCCTTTAATTCGAATTAACTGGCTCTGTAGTGTGGACGGGTGAAGGGTTAATTCGGATTAACGCAGCTAAATCCGAATTAAAGTCATAGTGTAGACCAGGCCATACTGTAGTTACATTGTAGTAAGTCCTGCACTAGGTCACAGGGTTGAAATGTTAGCAAATTGGTTCTTAAAGTTAGGGGCTGGTTTTCAAGAGATGCCGAGCATCTCTTGCTTCCACTGACTTAATGGAATGGGGTTTGAGAGACCTCAGCAACCCTGAAGATCAGGCCACTAGTGCCTAATTAGTAAATATTAATTCCTGGACACTCTCTCTCTCTCAGTAATGAGAGAGATCTGATTTCTACAGCAATCTTATGAGTAATTCTTTGTAGAAAGGAATTGGTAATAAAGAGTTACTAAGATGTCAGCCAGAACATTATTCCTCAAATGCTAAGCTGTACAAACAAGCAAAGCACTTCTAGCTATCACTCATCCACATACTCTCTGAATCACACAGTTGTCTCAAGGACAATCTTTGCAGTGCTGTGCCAAGTTGCAGATTGGCTAGCCTTCCACAAACCTATTTCTCCAGTTGGGTTATTTTTAATTGAATTGCCTTTTAAAGAGGTTTCTGGCCAGAGGGGGAAGCTGCAGCACCAAGTTTCACTCTTTGTCTGAGGAGCAGTTTCCTCCCCTTTCCCCCCCAGCAGACATTTGAATTCTGCTTTAGGAATACCAGGGGCAGGGAGGGGGAGAGAAGAAGATGGTTTGGTTAAACCTTCCTAAATACGGGGAAGTTCCTTAGATAATCATATAAGCACTTAAAAGGAGAATGATATAAATTTGGCAAGGCGGCTTACTCAGGGCTTGTCTACACTTATCGGAGGGTCCGGCGGCAGGCAATCGGTTTTCTGGGATCGACTTATCGCGTCTAGTGAAGAAGCGATAAAATCGATCCCTGATCGCTCTGCCGTCGACTCCGGAAATCCACCGCGGCAAGAGGCGGCAGCGGAGTCGACGGCAGCGGTCGACTTTCCCCCGTCCTCACAGCCAGGTAAGTCGACCTAAAATACGCAACTTCAGCTACGGTATTCAGGTAGCTGAAGTTGCGTATCTTAGGTCAGACCCCCGCTGTAGTGTAGACCTAGCCTGATCAGACTCTGCCCATAATGTCTAAGCAATTAATTCTGTATTTTGGGTTGTATTTAGTTAGAACCCTAATATTTGTAAGAGGCTCAATAGCAAGGCTGGAATCCCCCTATAAGAATGTTTTGTTTCCCATTGTAAGCACCTAGCATGGCATCTGTTGCTGCAGGTAACGGTCTGTAACACAAATTCTTATTTTAAATTATGTACAATAGTCAGAAATAGTCATTTTGATCTGTAGCACGAGCATACATTAGGGAGTGCTCACATGAAGCGCAATGAGCATTTATTTGGCCATTCGGCTTTTTTTCCCCCCCCAGACACTTTCACATCATGATTTTTGAAAGTGGAGTTGCACAGGCAATTAGTCCAGATTGTGTTTTGTTGTTCTCCAAGAGAGGCTGTTACTGTCAATATGACCAACCACCCATAAACTAAATATCCTCTAACTAGGCCTTGACACAGCAGACTCTGAAAAAGCCATTACCATCTATAAAGTAAATATGCATTTCCAGCAGTCCATAATTATGCATTTGCTTGGTCTGTAATTACAGGCCAGCAAGCAAATATGCAATTAGGAAATTTTTAAGTATATGTTACGTAGTTTTCTTTATTTGAAGTGCTACCTCAATATCACTAAGGA